CATTCAGGCCAAAGAGTTCAATCTTTGCTTCATCAGACCAGAGAATTTTGTTTCTCATGGTCTGAGAGTCCTTCAGGTGCCTTTTGGCAAACTCCAGGCGGGCTGTCATGTGCCTTTCACTGAGGAGTGGCTTCCGTCTGGCCACTCTACCATACAGGCCTGATTGGTGGAGTGCTGCAGAGATGGTTGTTCTTCTGGAAGGTTCTCCTCTCTCCACAGAGAAATGCTGGAGCTCTGTCAGAGTAACCATCGGGTTCTTGGTCACCTCCCTGACTAAGGCCCTTCTCCCCCGATTGCTCAGTTTGGCCGGGCGGCCCGCTCTAGGAAGAATCCTGGTGGTTCCAAACTTCTTCCATTTACGGGTGATGGAGGCCACTGTGCTCATTGGGACCTTCAATGCTGCAGAAATTTTTCTGTACCCTTCCCCAGATCTGTACCTCGATACAATCCTGTCTCGGAGGTCTACAGACAATTCCTTGGACTTCACGGCTTGGTTTGGGCTCTGACATGCACTGTTAACTGTGGGACCTTATATAGACAGGTGAGTGTCTTTCCAAATCATGTCCAGTCAACTGAATTTTCCACAGGTGGACTCCAGTCAAGTTGTAGAAATATCTCAAGGATGATCAGTGGAAACAGGATGCACCTGAGCTCAATTTTGAGTGTACTTATGTACGTGATTTTTTTTTATTTTTTATTTTTTTTAATAGATTTGCAAAGATTTCAAACAAACTTCTTTCACGTTGTCATTATGGGGTATTGTTTGTAGAATTTTGAGGAAAATAATGAATTTAATCCATTTTGGAATAAGGCTGTAACATAACAAAATGTGGAAAAAGTGAAGCGCTGTGAATACTTTCCGGATGCACTGTAACTGTTATGTGAATATATGTGAGTATATGTTAAAATGTAATTTATTGCTGTGATCAAAGCTGAATTTTCAGCATCATTACGCCAGTCTTCAGTGTCACATTATCCTTTAGAAATCATTCTAATATGCTGATTTGCTGCTCAGTTATTATTAATAATTTCTAATCATTCTTGTAACTCTTCAAGTTCTTTATTTTTTTATCATTTATAAAGGTTTACAGAATGATCACAAAGCTATCATGGTGGAGATTGAGGAGGCCCTTCATAAGCTGCATGCCACAGCAAGTGTCAAACCTGAGAAGGATGTGACAAAGACGGAAGTCACGGAGCCGACCGCGTCTCTGCCAGCCCCGTTTGCACTGGTGGACACTGTAACACAGGGCTCCCCTGCTTTTCAGGCCGTGAGTTTGTGCCCCATTTCTAACCTTCATATTCACAGATTTATTAAGTCAACTTAAAGTCCCCATGAAATCAAAATTAAAGTTTTTTGGGTGTTAGTATCAATATGTTAGTCTTAAGGTTATCTATAAGGCAGTGTGCTCCAAAACAGTGACAAAATTCGCATTTAGAAGATATAAGCATTCAAAGCTTGCAGTTCGTCACTTCTGCCAAAACGGTTCAATGATTTTTTTGACGTCACATCGTACTTCAGCGTCTCATCAAACTTTGTCCAATCAAATGCTCTCTAGAATCCGAAGCGCCCGCCCCCTACACTATAAAATAGAAGCTGAAGCTGCGGCTGAAATCGGTCACTTGTCCACAGAATTAGTATTTTCTGTACAGTGAATGGCACGTAGTGCACTATATAGGGGACAGGGAACGATTCAAACAGTGTAAATATGCTTTCCATTGAGGAAAAAAAGAAGTCTGGTTTCGCGCTGTGTCACGCTAAACACCGCACCACACACACACTCTGCTCCGGTCCAGAGACACGATAGCATGGAGCGGATCACATGCGCGAGTCAGCGCAGACCACAAAATGTATCGGAGCTATTTGAATTCTACACAGAATGCTATATTTTATAGCAATATGGATGAGATTGTGGCTGGCATACCCTGTCAAATGCGGCTTTACGGAGCTCAACGGCTCTGAACGGCTCTAGCCCAAGCTGTGATATAAACGAACGCTATTGGCTATTTTAAAAAGGGGCGGGGCTGCTTGATATGTCCCGCCCTCTCTTCCTGTTTCAGTTAAAATGCCGTCAACACATTGAGTAACGCTGCGTGTTTCTAAGCATTTCAGGGGACCTTTAACTTGTTTGCTTAATACATCTAAAATCAGATGATTTACATTAGTAAAATGTTGCAACCTTTAAATGCATTTCATGTTGACTTCTTGTATATTTTATATTTTTTAGTTATAACATGTAATGACTGCATGTTAACTGTTGCTCATTGGAAGGTTTATTTCATTTCATAGTAGTACTTAAGTCTCTTTTTGAGTCGAAGCACAAACTGATTATGCAACTAGAGAGTTTAAAACAGATGTGCAGCACTTTACAAAGTGGCTGATTGTTCATAGTGGATTTTTCATGAGTAAAAACTTTCATTGATTTCAGTTTTCTTCTGTTCGTAGGGTTTGCGAGTCGGTGATGAGATTATAGAGTTTGGGTCTGTAAATACACAAAACTTCAGGAATCTGCATGACGTCGCTTCTGTTGTCCAACATAGTGAAGGGGTTTGTTGTAACTCGAAGCTCTTTCCTTTAAGTTAAAAACTGTAGCTCATTTACTTACTCTTTTTAATACTTTACATTCCTGTTTATGTACTACATGATTCAGTTTAATTTTGTCTTGGTGAATTATTTCTGTTTACTCTAGAAATCTCTACGTGTTGGATTGCTTCGAAGTGGACAAGAAGTACATCTTAATTTGACTCCGAAGCAATGGTCTGGTAGAGGACTACTGGGGTAAAGAATGTGTTTATTGTATTAATTCATTTTAATTAGGAAAATATCAAGGTCATTATTAATGGCATTTTTATTCTGTCAATAGGTGCAACTTAGTACCTCTCCACAGATGACCAGTGAAAGGACGAGGATCATCTTTATGCCAAACAACACCTCTTTTGCACTAAATAAATTTGCAGTGGGTTAACTTTAATTTTGCTTTTGCATTCATTGTAAAATTGAGTTAAGTAAATAAATTACCAAGGAGAAATTACAGACTATTCAGTATCAGACTTACTTAACTGTCAGAAAGGATGAACAGATAATTTATTTGCAAGGTTTTCACTTACCCTTTTCTCCTTTTAAATTTCTTGCATCCATTTTTATTTTTAAATTCTTGTTCTAAAATTGGTGCATTGTGGAACAAATCTGGCAAGAGGATCTGCAAAAGTTCTTAACATCTTAAAGTTAAAGCAGCTGAATGGTAAGACCAGAGTCATTCTGGGTTCTGATGTATGAAGCTGTATTCGCTTTGTTACAGTTGCATTAGAACAACACCAGGGTGAGGAAATAATGTCTGAATTATTCTTTTAATATGTGTGATAAACACATTACAGTGTCCTTATATGAAAATCAGATTCAAAACTGACTTGGAAACCTGTTATCATGCCTTCATTTTTTTCCAAATGCCTTATAGTTTCATATAAATATGAATTATTACATGCTAAAAACTATGATAAAGTAAATCATTTAAATATCTCATTGTGTGAAAAAGATTTTTTATTTTCAAAAATGATGATGGTCTCACATTTGTGGCGTCAGTTTCCCCACACCAAACAATTTTGCCCCTATGAAGTTTAGAGATATCTTGCATGGATTTTTGACTAGTCAAAATGTACTTACTGATATCTTGAACCATCTTTCTTACTAGTCAAATTATAACTGCACGTATCTCTAATGATCATGTTGACTTGTCAAAACAATTGTAACTATCTAAAATGTAATTGTCAAACCAAAGCATTAAATGATAAATTGGCTTGCCATATCTTATTTATAGAGGCGTATGACTACATACGGTTGGGATTTCCTTTAACCTGTAAATGGCATTTAATTAGTAAGACTTCACATTTAAAATATTAAGTTTTGACTACTCAAATCAAATTCAAGATATCTACAAAGTAAGGCTATTTTGAATATTTCAGGTATCAAAAATACATTCTGGATATCTTTAATGATGAAAAGATAAAGATATCTGTAATTAGAATTCTGACTGGTTGAATAACAATTAGGGATTCAATGTAAATAACAGTATGACAAGTAATAACTGGATTACAAATATCTTGACATGTCACAGATATCTGGAATTGTAATTTTGACAAGTAAAAAGTAATTTACGACTACCGAAGCTTTAACTGATTAAACGTCTTGCCATAGCCTCCTGACTCCCAGCTATGGAGTTTTGACATTATATTACCGGTATATATTTATTATATTTTGGGATTCAACTTAAACTAATGTATGCTTTTATGTAACTAATTAAAAAAAAAATGATGACCAGTTTTAAAGAAAAAAATCGGATGACTAACTACTCTAAACCTTTTATGCAACTGGCCCCAGGACTTAAAGCATGTTTATTATGCATTTTAGGAGACAACAAGTGAATCGGGAAGGAAATTGTATATCAATATTCCTATGAAATATGAGATATTATTTTGCAAATCTTGCCAATTATTACTCCCATTATTACACTTCTTTTTTTTTTCCATTACATGTTGCCCCAAAAATAGATTAATATGCAAATTAGATACAGTTTATAGGCTACATCAAACCCATTTATGGCCATTTTACACTCATATTGCACACAGCAAAATGGCATATCAAATCATTCTGTTATATCTTTTATAATATAGCTGAGAATCATCTTTATATAAAGTTTGGTATAAAAAAATAAAAATTGATTGGTGATTTAAAAAAATCCCACTGTTTTTGCCTTTCCATGTCTATTCATGTCTTTTAAAGTCCTGGTGTCCTCTACAGAGGACACAGCAGAAAATTAACCATGTAGTAACCATGCGTTTTTTTTTTTTTGGCATTGATTACCATTTGTTTAACCACAGTTTTACTACAAATACCATGGTTAAACTATGGTTAGTATGGCAAAACCATGGTTAATTTGTGCTTACCATGGTTTAACTATAGTAACCTTATAGTAACTATAAAACCATGGTTAATTTTCGTTAGGGAATAAAATATTTGTCAAAAATGTTACATTGGCTGCATTGCTTTCTATACAGTGTAAAAAAAAATTCCATTTACTTTTTTTTTTTTTTTATGCTCTAAACAACGTAATGACTTGGGAAAAAAATACTAAATTCACTAAAAACAAAAAATTCTGGTAGTCTGGAGGATAGACGTATTTTTACTTTGTACGAACGTCACAAAACGCGCACGACTCGAAGTTCCCGGATGGAGTTTCATCGCCATATTTAGTCGCCGGCAGGATACGAGGATTTTAAGCTGCTGTTGCTACACCAAGTATCCCAATATAACATATCTATTCCGTTTTGTACACCATTTGCATCCGTCTGTACAAACAGACAGCGTCTCTTACCTTCACCCTGTCCACCTCCTCGCGGTCCCCAGTAATCATGGCAGATCGAGAGCACTTGGTTTATCAGGCTAAGCTAGCAGAACAAGCCGAGAGATACGATGGTGAGTTGATATTTTCGGGTGTTGTCACGCTCTTGAATTACATCCGAGGGACAGCAGTAAACAGAGGGATGTCGTGCAACTGATACAATTGTGTGTTGAACCCAAAACCTAAGCGCTGTCCATTCACACGTGTCACGTCCAGGAGAAATGGGAAGAAAAATCCAGGAGCGCTGTTGTTTTGGAAAGGCCCAAACTAACTCAGCCCAACCCCTGCATTGTTCGCGAGCTAAAGCCAATGTTGATCTGTGCTCGCGTTGCTAAGAACTGTTGTGTACAATCTATGAGTGGCGCATCTGATATTGTAACGTTACTGTAATCAGTTGATCGGAGAGCATGTGATTCAAAAGATATGCAACGCACTAAATGATGCATTGTTTTCCTTTCGCTACACATTATCTGAATAAAATCAGACTGCGTTGAGATTTTAGCTGATGCAATGATGACTAGCCTGAATCCAGCTGTTTATTCTGGATATTTTTACTGTATTCATGTTTTTATGGACCTCGATGTTGACATTTGGGACAATACGTGGTATTTCTCAGTCATTTTCATTGGTGCATTAAATATGTCACTGGGGATAATTGAAGATTTTAAGAAAAAAAATCCATTAAAACCATTATCTGATTATGGAAAAATGCTTCAATGTCAGGAAAACAATATTGGTTAAACCAATTATTGCTTGTTCTGTACTTGTGTATGATTTTATGTTATTATGCATGTCACAATATGAAAGAAAATATCTGTCGCTATTTCCGTGTCATTGAGTTTTATTTATGCAGAAGTAAAATGGTTTGAGCTAAATGAGTGTGAACTAGTGAGATTAAACTAGCATCTGCTACAAACATTACTCTTATCTGAACTTACTACTTTGGACATGCATTATTTTTTTTTTTTAAACCACTCGGTACCCAGTCTGTGACATTCAGTGTTGTTATGTACTATATTTATCATTTAGTTTGACCTTTGCTCCCCAGATCTTTGATGATGGGTTTGCTTTGTGTCATTAATATGATTCTTCTCTGTGTTTCAGAAATGGTGGAGTCTATGAAGAGCGTTGCAGGAAAGGACACCGAGCTCACGGTAGAGGAGAGAAACCTGTTGTCGGTGGCGTATAAGAACGTGATTGGAGCTCGACGAGCCTCCTGGAGGATCATCAGCAGCATTGAGCAGAAAGAGGAGAGCAAGGGAGGAGAGGGCAAACTCAAAATGATCCGCGAATACAGACAAGCGGTGAGATTGCATGGAGCCTTAAAAGGATAGTTCACCCAAAAATGGGAAGAAGCATAACAATTTAAGTGAAGCATTTAAAACTGTCCGAGAAAGACGCAAAAATCATTACAAGCACCGACAGCGAGAGACTGTTTAGGATTGCATCGCATGTCTTCGATGAGAAGAGGACGGGGTGATTGTTGCTGGTTTACTCTAGGGCTGGGTATCGATTCAGATGTCCCGATTCGATTCGTTTCGCAAGCTCTCGATTCGATTCGATTCTCGATTTTTTGATTACATTCAGTGAATATAGTTTTAATACAAATGCTATTGATATTTCTAAAAAAATGAACAGTAAACATCAGTTTACAAATGGTGAATTAATAAAAAGAAATTAAGAACCACATGCCTGTATTTTAAACCTATACTTTTTTTTGTATGGGTCCTTTTTTAAACAATAATAGGGCCCTATAAAATGTTCTTAATTTTTCTGGTAATCAGATGAAGGCATAAAACATTAATTTAATTTATCCTAATCAAATGAAAATTAAACCCTTTTATTTTTTGGCAAACAAAGTGCTGCACAACAGAGGTTTACTGTTAAAACATTAAAACATGTGATTATTCCTTTAAAAATAAAGATTTATTAATATTTATTAGCAGTAGTAGCATCGAGTCTTAAGACTGCTAAATGGTAATATTTTGACAGTTTCTTAACGTTAAACTAAACTTTTATTTTGACGGGTTGCCGTGAAGAACTTCCAGCTGCTGTGTATGTGATATGACGGTAGTTTTCTCAAATGAAACGGTAAATGCTAATGAAGTGACCCTCAGAGCAGCTGGAGATGACATTCGTGTTCATATCATCATATAGTGAGACGGCAGAAGCTGAAAACACCGCGAGCGTCATCCGCGCTTTGGTATGTGTGTAGTAAACAAAACAGTGCGCCGCACCATTCATTCATTGCGGAAATCATGGCGCCTTATGCGTGATATCAAATGCTTCCGCAGATTTATAGTATTACTATAGCATTTCACAGATCTTGTTTTAAAGGGGTCATATGATGCTTTTTTAAAGATCATTATTTTGTGTATTTGGTGTAACAGAATATGTTGACATGCTTTAATGTCCAAAAAACACATTATTTTTCAAATACTGTACATTATTGTAGGTCCTCTATGCCCCGCCTCTCTCAAACGCTTCGTTTTCTACAAAGTCCCTCCTTCCGACAAGCGCAGTCTGCTCTGATTGGCCAGCTGACCCAGTGCATTGTGATTGGCCGAACACCGCAAGCACTCGTCGGAAATGTAACGCCCCTTACCATAATCGCGAGCTTCATCTTTCAAAATAAATGTAAAGACAGAGCCCGAAAGGGGAACAGAGTCGCGTGACAGACACAGTGATGAAGCTGGTATGTGTTTGCAGTACACAAGCCACGGTTAAGACTGCTGACTCCACTGTGATGTGACCCTGTCTGTCTCTCTGTCTCTCTCTCTCGCTCTCTCTCTCGCTCTTTCGCTCTCTCTCTCACACACACACATGCACGCGTATTCGCAGCTTTTGAGAATCGATATCGAATCGACGTCATTTAAAAAAACGATAAATCGAAAAATCAATTTTTTTGCCCAGCCCAGATTGAAATCGCGAAATGGCCTTAAACGATTAGTAAATAAACTGCAAAACGTCATGTTTTCTAATACTGTCTGCTAGAATGTTAAAAATGTTCAGTGTTAAATATTTTTAAATTGTTGTTTTGTAATAGATTTTTTGTTTTCTTTGAAAAGCAAGACAAAACAGTAAAAAGCACATTTTGGCTATTTAATTTATGCAATGGCGGAAATTCGGTTTCGGCTTCGGCCAAGAATTTTCATTTCGGTGCATCCCTATTATATACCTTTAATAAACGTTTGTTCTTTATAATACCTTAGTGCTTGTTTCTAACACTTCAATCCATCCCTTGAAATGCCTTGTCTTGAGTCGTGAGTTTTATGTCTCAGAAACAGTAATGTGTGCAGTGATCTAGATGTACATGATGCAATAATTACTCTGCGGATTCTCTTCTTATCTTTTGCAGGTTGAGAATGAGCTGAAATCTGTTTGCAATGACATACTGGATGTACTGGACAAACACCTCATTCCTGCAGCCAACACAGGGGAGTCCAAAGTTTTCTACTACAAAATGTAGGTGTTTGACGAAACAAAGTGCATGCATTTAAGACTTTATAGGTCTCTTAGATGGGTGAGGTTCTGCATGCTAAATATGACATGAAACCTGGCTTTATTTCTGTAGAGCATAAAACGTTTGCCTCATGTAGGTCATGGATTTGATTCCCAAGAAACGTGCATAATTATTAAATGTACACCTTGAAGCATACTAATCATGCACGCTAAATTGTTTAGGATTTAAGGGCCTGCCAAATGCAGACATGTAAATGTAAGGTTTTGTAGGGCTTTATCAGTACATTTAGAAATTGATCCCCTTAAATGTTAACATTTATTTTTTTGTCTGTTTTAAAAAGCAGTGCTTGCTTAAAGGGATAGTTCACCCAGAAATTAAAATTAGCTGTTAATTTACTCATCCTCAGGCCATCCAAGATGTAGGTGACTTTTTTTTTTTTTCTTCAGTAGAACAGTAAAGATGATTTTTAGGTGAGACTGTGGCCCTTGGTGATTCATAAACCGTGTGACAACACCGGTGATACCGGTATCACCGTTGGGGTTGGGGTGGGGGGTGTTAGTTCATTTGAGTTTCCCTCTTTTCTTCTTTTTCAAATGGCTTGTAAAAGTGCGCATTTTACTTTCACTTTCAAATTAGCGGCCGCAAATTGAATTGCCGCAATTTGGCGTCAAGCAATTGTTCGTTTGAGTTTTCCCTCTTTTCCTCGGATTTCTTGGCTTTCAAATAGCTTGAAAAAGCGCCGTGTGCGTTTTACTTTCACTTTCAAATTAGCGGCAATTTGGCGTTGATTCAATTCAAGCAACAACAACGTCAAACTCAGAACTTTTATTAACAAAACGAATAAAAATACACCATATAGGCCTAT